AAGGAAGTTAGAGGCCATCGCTAGTAGGTGGTATCAAGAGAACACACGTCCATCGCTGTGCACAGCGATGTATCTCACAAGTTGGGACCAGGTGGCGCATCGCTCCCCTAAGGATGCGCCATCTGCCATGTCAACCTCGTGAGCGATGGGCCGTGAACACTCGTGCCTGTTGAGCTCGTGATCGTTGGTTTCTTCGTGTCACAAGCTGAACAGCATCCAATTCCAGCATCGAAAGAACACATCATGGATGGACAGAGGACGAAAAGAAACAAAGATGGGTGGATTGGTAAAGGAATATGGAGAGACGGACGCAAGAAACATCGATAGTGAGGGATTGAATCTTCCACTAGACACCTTTGTGATGATCTTTCTGTGGCAAGTTTCTGCTTTCGGGTTCAAACCAAAATTGCTACATCAGGTAAACGGCGGTTGGTTTGAAGAAACCAGGAAAAAGTAAAAGAGAGGAAAAGAAAAAGAAGCGATAGAGATAGGGAAGACGTAGGGAAGATAACAGAAACTAGATGCCTTTCTATTCCGCCTTTCTCCTTTTGATTCCTTGTTCCTTTCGTAGGGAAGGAGACTCAAACCGCGCTTTTTGGGCCCTCCATCCACCACATGTGGGTGGAAAACGCTTCGACGCAGAAAGAAAAACCGAATTCTTCAGTGGTTCACGACTTCTTTCTTTGCTTCTTAAACTAATTGTTGTGTTTTTGCGTTCCTTTTCTCGCGCTCTCCTTCTTTCTTCCCTCAAACGGCCGAATGCTTTCTCTTTCTCCTGCACTTTCCCCTCAACATATCTTCGAGTGCAGTGCGACACAATCAGGGCTAAAGGGTTCGCATGTAGAAAGCATTCTTTTTTAAAGCAAACATGTTTGCTTTGTAAGGGGTAACAATAAAAGGGAGAGGAAAACAAAAAGGGCGAACTCAGTCCTGGATTCTGAATTAATACCATTGAACTCAAGGCATTTGAAGCACCGGCTGATGTAAAAACATTACAACCTGGCTTGAATCAAGTACACCCACAAAAGTGCCAGCCTTGGCCCAAGAGCACAGTTCCACACACTACGGCTGGAAATGTTGCATGATGACAACAATTACTTGGAAAGGCTTAAACTCTTTGGATGATTCTCGGCTATGGTTTTGTTCTGTTCGTTTGCTTGTCGAATGTGCGTTTCTTGCAGGCGGCATCAAACACTGAAAGTGTTATTATATTAAATATAATAAGATATGTCCTTACAGCGTCAACTGTCAATCCAACACGTTGCCTGAATTAAGTTCCCATATTCAGACCGTGTTTCTAGGTCGTTACTGTTGAGGATGTGCGTTTGCATCTCTCGCAAGCTTCTTTTGAGGCAGGTTTGCAAAAACAATAAATGCAACTCATCAATCGTGGCACATGGAACGATCAAATCGAGAACATTCAACGCCCCGACCATGACCATCGATAGGCCGGCAGAACAACGACTGGGCACTTTCGAAAGCGCTGAACAGTTCTGACGACTGGGTGTGCAAAAGAAAAGGTACTGTCTCACACTTTGGATTTAGCAAATGTAAACTGACAAACAAAAAAAAATCGCGAGACTTTAAAAGCGTAAAGTGTAAAGAACACAAAAAAATTGAAAAAATTAGTCAATGTGTTTCATCAAAACCCGCTTTCACCAACCACCCTTACAATTTGGTTCTGGTCACGTTATGGAAGCTGTGTGTCTCAATCAACGTCTCAGGTTTTCCTCGTGGCGACTCTTCTCACGGTATCTCCATCTCTTGGATAGAACCCTCCAAGGTTTTGGTTGCACGCCCAAACATATTCAACACTGACAACCATCAATTGAATGCCTGGTTGGTCGGTCCAGTTCTTCACTGCAAGCTCCACATGGACCTTGATTGCAATCGAACACCCGCAACCAAGCCACAAAAAGATCGCTTTTCCGCTCGAAAACCAACCTCAACACATTTCATCAATTTGATGGGAAAAATGCAAAACCAGAACGCGTTCTCTGTCAAGCTGCCCAGTTTTTATATCTATGTCTATATCTGTATCTCTATGTCTATCTCTATATCTATCTATCTATCTACCTATCCATCTATCTATCTATACATGTATATAGTTGTGTGTACTTCCTACACCCCACGTGCTTTTATGCAAAAGCGTGGAGGAGGGCTGCGGTAGCTCAGGCTCAAGCCCCTAGATCTTTACAAGTGAAACACTACCTACTACAGCATCTGCCATGTGGTGCAGCTCTGGACAGTCCAAAGAGACATGAATATGTACTCAAATGCAAAATAGTCCTGCCAAAACCTTTTTCTTTCAGGAGCTTGGTTTGGTGCTTGGGTCCTCTGACCCCTGTCTGTGTACACCAATCGTGCAAGTTGAAATCAAACAAGGGTGTGGCAGGCAGATTCTCTCACCTGTGCCTGATACACCCTGTCTCCCTCAGGGCC